TTCTTGGCAGGGGGTTGGACTGGATGGCCCATGAGGTCTCTTCCAACTCTTTGATTCTATGATTCTACGAAAGCCTTGTAAAACTTCAGTACCCATAATTTCATAGCATTGAACCATGGAGTTAAAGTGATGCCAAACTGCATTATGTTTACAGTGTAGATACAATGAAGTCTTGATGAGTTTTGTTTCTATATATATTTATTTGGGTTATTATAGGTGCATCTACACTGTAGAATTAATGCAATTTGGCATGACTCAATGCTATGGAATCATAGCACTGAGTCATGGTTTGATGAGGCACCAGCACTATTCACTAGGCAAGGATAAGGCCCTGTAAAACGCTCCCGTGATTCCACAGCATTGAGGCAGGACATTTAAAGTGGTGTCAAACTGCACTAATTCTACAGTGGAGGCCCCATCTATACTGCCATATAATCCAATTTCTGAATCCAGATTATCTGCTTTGAACTGGATTATATGACAGTGTAAATTCATATAATCCAGTTCAAAACAGAAAATCTGGATTCAGAAACTGGATTATATGTTAGTTCTAAAAACACTCTAAGTGGTTGAAAACTTAAACATTTTACATGCTTTTGTATGTCAGATATATATACAGGCTGTCCCCAAATTACAAACATCTGAATTAAACAACTCACAGTTAAGAATGGGGTGAGACAACAGCAAATGAGATTAATCAACTCTAAGAATGGAAATTCACTCCTGAAAGAGTTATCATGGGGGGGGGGGGTATCTCCACTGAAGCTTTATCACCAATCCCTGTTTCCATAACAAGCCTTTCTTTTTTCAGAATTCAATTATCACAGTAAGTTGAAATCTTCTGAACAGGGCCACGGAGAGCAAAACAGCAAAACAAACAGCACAGTTTTAACTCTTCCCTATGCTATCCAAAGCGCTCTCTCTCTCTCTCTCTCTCTCTCTCTGTCTCTCTCTCTCTCTATATATATATATATATATACACACACACACCTAAGAACAACCCTGCAAAACCTATCTTGTTTGTAACTTGGGGACTGCCTGTATATATAACTGATATAGTAATCTGTTACTTGTTTCTAATGATAATGTGTTATTTATGTATTTCCCTTTTCTTTCTTTTATCAACCCCTGAAGAAGGGTGTTAAATATTACGAGCCAAAAGACTTTGGGCTAATAGAAAAATAAAACTGCTCTCTTTGACACCTGAGATATTGTTTATTCTTTACATCCTTTCTATCAGGTGTTACCCATCCTTGTTGCTTCTTTTCTTCCTCGGTGAGGCTACAGCCACTCTGTGTTTGAGCTATAGGCAAGAGGTCCTTTAATACTATACTTATATAGAACTGATCTTCTTCTTTGCAGGTCCCATCTATCTCATAACAGAATACTGCCGCTATGGAGACCTGGTGGATTACTTGCACAGGAACAAGCACACCTTCCTCCAGTGCTGCAGCGAGAAAGTAAAGCAAGAGACAGAGGTGTATGGGAATGCCCCTACAGAGGACAGGGTGCAAAGGTGCTTTCAATTAATACTCTGTTCTTACTAAGCACTAATATTACTCCATGGGTATCTACAGGATTATGGCCTTTCTTGTTCACTGAAACAGAAACCTGCAGGTTATGAGGATTATACCAGTAAACAAGATTTCACAATGGCAAATTCAACACTGAGTTGTCTCTCCCCCCCCCCCCCCCGTTTTTGTATACTAAAGCAATTTTTAGTTTTACATTTCAAATATTTACTTTGTGGCTCTTAGTGTCAAAAAGAGCCAGTGTCTACTCCTTTGCCAGAGTTGTTTGTTTTGATGAAACAGGGTCGCCTAGATGCATCCCACTTCCATAATGGAGCGATATTAGTAATCACCACAAGGTGGAGGCATCTGAAAGCCATTTTCACAGAACAGGTCCATTCCTTCAAACCAATGTCTGCATGTGTGTGCATGTCTTCATGTTGCTTGTCAACTTAGGCTGTTTAGCCTATTCCTTTTGGCTCCTGGTATTCATCAGCAGACAAGTCACTCAAAAATAAATTGACTACATTAAGATTACTTTTAAAATGCAATAAACTGCTAAGTCCACTCTTCATGCTCCTTGACAAAGGAGGGAATTGTCACTGCCCAGATGTTTGGAACAACTACATTAAGACACCAGTTAGAGGAAAAGGTAACACACACAACATACATACATACATACATACATACATATATCTACTTGATTTTTCAGGTCTTTTTTAGATTCTAAATAACGAAGTCTTAGGATGAAGCAAATATTCAGTCCACAGGGCATTTTTTTTCACTTTATGTGTGCATATGGCCCCTCAATTTCCTTCCCCATAATAAGTTATGCTATCTGCTTCAAAGAGGAAAAAAGTCCCAAATACATAATAAAGAACTGGTGGGATCACAAGCCTGGAAAAGTTACAGAAAATGAACACATCAAACTACTCTGGGACTTCCAAATTCAGACTGACAGAGTTTTGGAGCACATTACTCCTGACCTCATCATCGTGTTAAAAAACAAAGTATGGATTGTCGATGTTGCAATCCCAGGCAACAGCAGGATTGAAGGGAAACAACTGGAAAAGCTGACACGATATGAGGATTTAAAGATCAAACTGCAAAGACTCTGGCACAAACCAGTAAAGGTGGTCCCAGTGGTGATCGGCAGATTGGGTGCAGTGCCTAAAGACCTTGGACTGCACTTAAACACAATCAGTGTTGACAAAACTACCATGTGTCAGCTGCAAAAGGCCACCCTAATGGGATCTGCATGCATTATTCACCGATACATCACATAGTCCTAGACACTTGGGAAGTGTCCGCCGTGTGATCCAATACAACAACCAGCAGAGTGGTCTTGTTTGCTGTGTACTAATCTTGTTGTGTTTCTATTTATTTATTTATTTATTTATTTATTTATTTATTTATTTATTTATACTATTTCTATCCCACCCGTATCAGCCCGAAGGCGACTCAGGGCAGCAATAATAATAATAATAATAATAATAATAATAATAATAATAATAATAATAATAATAGTAGTAGCTTTATTCTTGTATCCTGCCACCATCTCCCTGAAGGGACTTGGGGCAGCTTACATATAGCACAAGGTGCCTAAAAACAGAACATAAAATGAAAACAATTTAAAATACAATTACATAAAACATATGAACATGTAGCCAACGACTAACACTCAATTAAAAACATGTGTTTGTGTGCATGAGAGAGAAAGCTTGAGATCCTGAAGACAATCAATGTGCATTTATGTTCACAAAAGAAAAAAAATATTTTCCAGGAGAATCATTATAAAAGTAATTGTGCCTGTAATAATGCTATTGGTAGTCATACTGCTTTCCCTTTCCTTACTTTTCTTTCAGTAGTTCCACTCTGGCCATTTTTAAAGAAATTGTTTCTGAGTGTCCCTTTTCCCATGCATAATGAGTGCAACCTTCTCCGCTTCATACAATCCTGTGATTCAGATTGTGTTGACTTGTTTTAAAACTTTTAAAAAGAAAAGGTGTCAATACAGAGCCACAAATGCATTTATGTATTTTAGTATTGTAGCAATTTTGTCCTTTACCAGAAAATACCTGACTTTAACTCAAGAAAAATCCCTTAAACTCTTACCAAAGCTAGCTAAAAACACCAGGGGTTTGTAAAAGATAACTATTGTTTTTCTTGTGGTTTGCAGTATGTTGAGGAAGGCATTTAAACAGGTGAGAATCACATGGTCCGCTGATTAAATTGTATACATTCATTTGTCTCCATTGGATATCCATAAATAGGGACACAGTATCTAAGACCACAATGGTTACTGAGAAATGCCTTGGATCCATTTTATTGTGCTGTTCTTTGTCACTTGCTGTGTTTATGTTTGAGCAACTTTGGGCATTGTTTTAAATGAACATCAGGAGAGAAAGTGCAATTGCATGGTATCTCCTCCCTTGTTTTTTTTTTTTAATTATTATCATTTGAAGCTCTATTTTGGCATAGTTCTATCCTCATGGGACAAGCTTGTGGGTTAAATAACTCTTTCTGTTTTTTGCAGCCATACATCATTATCTGTGGAAAGTGATGGGGGCTATATGGATATGAGTAAAGATGAATCATTGGATTATGTGCCCATGTCAGACATGAAAGGTGAAATCAAGTATGTGGACATTGATTCCTCCAATTATGGTACCACTTATGAGCTGGGCACCTATTCACCCACAGGTAAGGGAAGTTACAGGAAGGTAGCACACACAATTTGTAATGCTTTCATTGCTTAAAAGGTAACAACATACAGATGTGGGTATTTCACTTACGCCATTATTGAATGATTCAGCTGTTGTCAAGTGAGCCAAGCTTTTAAATTGTTTCTTCCTCCTCCTCTTATCTTATCTTATGTTCAAGTAAGGCTTTAATAGCAGAGATCTAGAGCTAAAGCAGGCTTATATCACTGGGATATTTGGAAAGCAAACAACAATAGTTCTTTCTCTGTTTTGTGTTCCCAGTTTCTGAGAAAGTGACATTGATAAATGAGTCTCCTATCCTCAGCTACACAGATCTTGTTGGTGTTAGCTTCCAAGTGGCCAAAGGGATGGACTTCTTAGCTTCCAAAAATGTAAATATTTTTGTTTATTCAGAATTATGTCATTATTTCTTGGGGTGACTGGCTTCACAAGAGAAGGAGCTGTTTGCTTTATGCTTATTTATGGAACAAGAAAGGCACAGAAGCAGCTGGAAGAGCACAAAGGTGTATCAACCAGGTGTTTTTGTTTTGTTTTTTGCCTTTGACTCATGTGTTATTCAATGCTGATATATTGCCCTTTACAAATTGCTTGTTCTGAGGAAGAAGGAAACAGTAATGTTTACCTAATCACTCCAACATGTGGAGCAGACCCATACTTGGTTATAATAACATTTCCCTCCCCTGTTGAAGGCAAACAAGTATTTGAACCTATAATATCCAGTTTTTCATTCAATAAATTTCCAGTTTTCTCATGGACATATTGGGTTTGTTGTTGTCATGTGCCTTCAAGTTATTTGCAATCTATGGTGGCCTAAACATTTTTCTTGGCAAGAGTTGTTCAGAAGAAGGTTGTCATTGTCTTCCTCTGAAACTAAGAGAGTATGGCGTGCCCAACCATACCCAGTGGACTTTATGGTCAAGAAGGGGTTCAAACCCTGGCCTCTAAAGTTATAGTGCAACACTCAACCATTACATCACACTGGCTAAGCTCCAGTAAACATAGTTCAATAAAAAAAGTCAATGCCTTGAGTTTGCAAGACCTGAACAGAGCTGTTGATGACTCTTAAAGGACTCTCTTTCATAGGATTGCCATAAGACATGTGCAACTTGATCTTAATCACAGGCTGAGGGTGGCATGCTGATAGAAAGGGAGCTGCTTGAAGTTCCCTGTGAATGGCCTTTCTCATTCTGAGAGTAGACTATTCTTTACTATTATTCCTTCAAAGCTGTGCTTTAACAATGAAGTTTAAATGTAGGACCCCTGGTGGCACAATGGGTTAAACCGCTGAGCTGCTAAATTTGCTGACTGAAAGGTTGGCGGTTTTAATCCAGGGAGCAAGGTGTCTTCCCATGGTGAGACCCAGCTTCTGCCAACCAAGCAGTTGGCAGAAGGCCCAGCTTCTGCCAGCCAAGCAGTTGGAAGAATGCATGAAAAATGTGAGTAGATCAATAGGTCCCGCCTTGGCCACATGACCTTGGAGGTGTCTACAGACAACACTGGCTCTTTGGCTTAGAAATGGAGATGAGCACCACCCCCCAGAGTCAAACACGAGTAGACTTAATGTCAGGGGAAACCTTTACCTTTTTACTTAAATTTGGGGGCCATGCTGATGTGGTGGAGAGGCTCTCCTTTAAGGCTCCCATGGGCCTTCTTTACTGTGGTTCCCCAGTTGTGCATTGCTCTTATCTCAGAAGCTTAATTAGCACTAACCTTTCTTTCTTTCTGGTGTCAGGTTGTTGTTTTTTAAAAAAACAACTTTTTATTGAATTCTTTGTGCGGGTTGTGGAGAGGTTTAAAGATGTTATCTGAACCTGAAGATATACACAGTTAGAACTGTTTTCTCTTACGGTATCCATGGATTCCATATCCACAGCTTCACTTAGAATCATAGAATCATTGAGTTGGAAGAGACCTCATGGACCATCCAGTCCAACCCCCTGCCAAGAAGCAAGAAAATCGCACTCCTGCCTCTTACCCACACGACAAAAAGAATCCTTGCCCGGAAATGTTTCTGGGTCTTTTGAGGCCCTCTGGTACCATTTGATTGTAATCTTCCAGTTCAAGAACAGTCAAAATACCAGTATAGAGTTTGCTATTATCCACAATTTTGGGAGTGCCTAGGAAATGGAGGTTGCATTATATTTTACATTGTTAAGTTGTGTTTAATATGACTTTAGATGCTTAAAATGTTGTTGCTGTTGATTTAACATTCTTAAATTGTTTAAAATGGTTAAATAGAATCCATTGTGTGCTACCTGTGATCTTATATTACAGGGTGGGATATAAATATTTTAATAAATCACATGTTCTGTGCCACAAATTTAGTGCTGTGGCTAGTGTAAACATTGTATTTTCTCACTGCATGTTTTACGTACCTTATTTTGCTTCCAGTACCCAGTGAAGAAAACAGCAGTACAATCTCTGCTGCTCCACACCCTGACCTTTGTAAATGCTGATTATTCTATTACTATTTTTGCAACTTCCATAGACTTTTACTAAAAGTGTAAAGAGCTAAAGAAATTGCTTGTGAAAAATTAATGAAAAAACAAGGAAAGCTTGTTTTATATGTTTATTCATTTCACTCTGAGTTTATGCACTTGAGCTATACTGTCATGAACTTGCCCATAGGCAACAGCACTCATTCTTGGGTAATAGGAAAACTATTAGAAAACATAATGGAGCCCCCAGTGGCACAATGGCAGGACTGAAGACTGACAGGTTGGAAGTTCAAATGGGGGGGGGGGGGACGCGGATAAGCTCCCTCTGTCAGTTCCAGCTCCCCATGCAGGGACATAAGAGAAGCTTCCAAAAGGATGGTAAAACATCAAAACATCTGGGTGTCCCCTGGGCAATGTCCTTGCAGACAAACAATTATCTCACACCAGAAGTGACTTGCAATTTCTCAAGTCGCTCCTGACACACAAAAAATAATTAGAAAACATCAAATGGTTTTAAAGGGTTGCAATGTACTACTCTTGTTGTTTCACATCACAGACTTAAATTTCCCAGTCACATTTTGATGAAGCTGCATCATTCTTAATAAGTCTTAAGAGTAAAGCTTGGGAAAGTTACTCTTTTTTTATTATAGTTTACAGAATACAGTAGCTCCCAGGCCCTGGCTGAGACAGATTCTTCATAGCAAGAATCTTTGCTGATAATAACTTTGGAAAAGTGAAATATGGTAAATGTGGTGAGCACTTCTGCAGACAAAGTTACTGCTATGGTTCACCGCACTGAAGATCTATGGTTGCTTTCTCATGTGAATTCCCACAAGGTACAGTTCAGTCTACATTACAGGTACTCTGGAGGCTTTCCAGAACTACAGGGTGAATTTATTTATTTATTTATTTACTTACTTACTTCATTTATATACTGCTTTTCTCAGCCCTCAGGCGACTCAAAGCAGTTAACAACAGCAACATTCAATGCAAAAACATCACAAAACAAATAGTAGCATCATCAATTATTAAACATCAATATAACAATCATTAGCGTCTCATCAGTAAAATCAGAATCCAATCTCATCATCCATTATTCCGAAATTCCTATATTCAATTACACTGTTTAATCGAATGCTTGCTCGAACAGCCAGGTCTTCACTTTCCTCCAAAACGCCAACAGGGAGGGGGCCGATCTGATATCTGTAGGAAGAGCGTTCCACAGCCGAGGGGCCACCACTGAGAAGGCCCTGTCTCTCATCCCTGCCAGTTGTGCCTGTGATGCAGGCGGGACCGAGAGCAGGGCCTCCCCAGGTGATCTTAATGTCCTACTTGGTTCATAGGAGGAGATGCGTTTGGAGAGGTAAGTAGGACCAGAACCGTTTAGGGCTTTATAGGCTAATGCCAGCACTTTGAATTATTCTGGAAATAATTTCTGTCATAAAACTGAACATTCCTTTTGAGTCAACTGACATATATATAGGTAAAAGTAAAGGTTTTCCCCTGACATTAAGTCCAGTCGTGTACGACTCTGGGGCTTGGTTCTCATCTCCATTTCTAAGCCAAAGAGCCAGCGTTGTCCATAGACACCTCCAAGATCATGTGGCCGGCATGACTACATGGAGTGCTGTTATCTTCCTATTGGATCTACTCACATGTGCACGTTTTTAAACAACTAGGTTGGCAGAAGCTGGAGCTGACAGCAGGAGCTCACGCTGCTCTCCGGATTCAAACCTGCAACCTTTTGGTCCATAAGTTCAGCAGCTCAGTGCTTTAATCCATTGTGCCACTGGGGGCTCCGACATATATATATAAAGCAACACTGAGATGTTGATTTTTTAGTCTCTGAGATCCCAGTTGGACAGATTTTCCCATGACTGATTGAAACTTTCTTGTACACAATTCTCTTGCTATTTCATATTTCTTTCATCTGACATATATATAAGATGAAAGAAATCTGAAATAGCAAGAGAATTGTGTACAAGAAAGCTTCAATCTATCATGGGAAAATCTGTCCAACTGGGAACTCAGAGACTAAAAAATCAACATCTCCGTGTTGCTTTTGGAGTTCACTTCTCATAATAGCCAGTCCCATTGGCTATGATGATTGCTGGTGGGGATTGCAGTCCAACAGTTTTGGAAGATCATACTTGCCCATCTAATAAATCAAGTTATATAAGGCACATTACCAAAGAAAATATTCTTGGATAGGGGCCTTGCATCTTTACTCACTTTTGGAGAACTATTGCTTGCTCACAGGGGTAGAAATGTCATCATCTTTCGCATCAGTTTAATATCTCTAAATCTGCTTTGAGTAATCAACAACTGTTTTAAGTCAAGCGTGCAAGTAAAACATTGCACGCTTGAGGACTCACTTCAGATTTTGGTGACAGACCACCAAAGACTACAAAATACTAGGGCAGAGGAAGTGCACTATAAACTAGAAAGAGATGTAGGCACAGGCAGTGAGAATTTTGCAAGACATTTCCTGGTCTCAATAAAACTACCTTTTGAACTCAGCCTCAGTTATTGCTAATTGATTTCCACATATATTCCTTGGAATGCTTTTCAGGAAAGGGCATTGCAAAAGAATATCATAATACTTTTGAGTGGGTGGGGAGAAGGTTAATACAAAAAAAAATTGTTTACAGCATATTTTTCTGTATTCCTCAGTGTGTGCATCGAGACCTGGCTGCAAGAAATGTTCTCATCTGTGAAGGAAAGCTGGTGAAGATCTGTGACTTTGGCCTAGCAAGAGATATCATGAGGGATTCAAATTACATTTCCAAAGGAAATGTAAGTAGCATGTTTCTCTGGACTCTGGGGGTCTCTATGCCTGCAAGGCATTAGAATTTGTGAAAGGTCTACCATCCCACCCTTTCTCATTATTGGCAAAGGACACATTCCTAAATTTACAATTCCTACAGATCTTAAATTTTAACATAATTCTTTATGTGACTGAGGCATAATAAGTTTAACTTAAACACAGTATATTTCATTTTTAAAAGACTCAATGAATACTCAAAACTGCAGGATGTTCAAATGAGTGTCTTCATTACCTTCACCAACAAGTATTGCTTCATAAACCCATGACTATCTCTCAGTTTCACATTTCAGAGCAGATTGCTCTCTAGTATCTCCACACACAAGAAGGATCTCTACTGTAGTTCTGAGAAGAGTCTTGGCATGTGTTACAAAAGGATGCAATTAATCCTCTTAGACCTCAGCTAAGTCAAGATCCTCAAGTCATATGAAAACAAAAATAAGCAACTCGCAGTCTGTTGTAATCACGCTATTTCTGATATAACTGCATCTATAGCTTATACTGATACATGTTGTTCTTTGCAACTGCCTGTCATCTCCTCGTGTCTCTTGTAATTCTACTAGATTAGTCCTGGGTCATTAACCATGAGTCACTAGCTTTCTGTATATGGTCTCACTTAACCATAAATCCCATGACAGTACGCAGTCAAGCAGGCACTGGTTCTCAGCCCATGCTGGTTGGTGGGCAAGAGAAGTCTGAGATTCATAGTTTTAAATAAAGAGTAAGCTTTGCAAACTCAAGAATGCTATCAGATTGTAGGGTGAGCCAAACAGCGAACTCAGACTGCAATTATTTATATCCTGTCTTTTTCCAGTTTGGGTATCAAGGCATAGTACAACAGCTAGAGCAAAAGCAGTCTACAAAGGTTGCAAGCATTATAACATGTGAAACCAATTAAAACAACAACAAATAAAAGTGTAGCACATTATACAAGGCCTGTTCCCCTGAAAAATCAATTCTCAAAGCTCTGCTGAAATAAAAAAGGTACAGAATATAGCTTTTCTGTGAAATAAAGTGATATGGATGGTTTTTTTTTTGCAAGATATTATTTTCTTCTCAAAATGCATTATCATAACTATGCTTTCAGTGAAAAAAAGTAAGGGAAGAAAATGTGATATTCTATACAATAAGACAACTGTCTTCACAGTATACGTGACTTTTTGGTGCTGAATATGATGCCTTGTATGATGAGGTTTGTGCAGAAAATACTTCAAACCTCAGCATTTCTGTGATTTTTCTCTGGAAAAATAGTTTTCTGTTGTGAGAATAACACAGGAAGTAAATTTTTGTTGCATACACAACAAACATTTCCTATGGAAAAAATGATGTGTTTGGGACAAAAAAAAAACCCACATAACTTTTCAGGAATGAATTTTAAAATTAAAATGGGTTCCGAACAATTACGAATGTCATTGCATCCAAATATTCTTGTTGGTGAATGCTTTTTATATTCTTGGCCAGTCTGAAATTCAGAGGCTAAACGAATCTAATGAAGGCCTTATTATGAGTCATTTTACAGGACTGGAAACAGAAGACACATTTTTGAATCTCCCTCAGCCGGTCACTCTCCCTGATAAATAGGAAATGAAACCTTGGACAGTTGCAATCCTTCCTGGAAAAATATTTTTGGTGCTGGTTGCGGAAAAGACAAAGGGAAAGGTGCTAAGAAAGCAGCAAAGCAGCACGCAAGCTGCTGCTCAGAAAACCAGAAACAGGCTGCTTTCATGTGCCACAAATAAGTATGGGCTGAAAACTGGAGAGACAAACACAGGAAATAAGGACAGCAAGAGTTGAATTCCTAACTGTCTTTTCAGGGCCTCTTGTGTTTATAAAGTTTTTTTCTCTCTGCCAGACAAAGTTGCAGGGCCTGACTGCTCCAACTGGAAATGTCCATACATAAGTGCCCAGATCATTACAAACTCACTACTAGTTTCTACCCTTTGTCCTTTATATGTCCACATATTCCAGCCATTGATGAAAGGGCAGCAGACTATGCTGCTGTTCCTGCAGTAGCGAGGGCTCCTTTCCAAGCCCATTCCCTAGTAGTCCTGCATTGCTCATGGGCATCTAAGCTTTGGAAGCATACACACATAGGCCTGTGTGTGTACTTGCTGGGAAGTCTGTTCATGGAGAGGTACAGACAGTAAATATATGTTAGAAGAAGATGGTGTTACTGTCAGAATCAGTACCAATGGTACTCCAGTGTGTGACAAGGCTTGAACTGAACTGCCTGTCTTGAGCAGCAAAGCAGAAGAAGGGAATTGTGTTCCTCTCCTTATGCTTGCCCTTTTGCAATAGGCCAGCAATACAACCACTCTGGAAAGCCTTGCTGGCTGTTTTCCAGCTGTGGAAAATAGTCAACAATCTTTTTCAGAAGCATAGCTTTTTTCATACTTGTTGTTGTTGTTATGTGCCTTCAAGTCAACTCTAACTTATTATGATCAGTGGAATACCAAGGTTAGAATGCTTGGAGTGGTCTGCTTGAGTTCAAGCTTTAAGGAAGAGTTGGGGTGAGAGGGAGGTGCCAGATAGATATAAGGGAACCCATTGATGCGGAAAGTCCAAGCAAAGGGTTCACTCCCCACCACCACCATTCACATACTCCTCTGTACTGTGCAGAGTAGGAACAAGCCAAGCAGTGGTGGAGAAGCCATTTTGCACTAAACTGTTTTCCTTTTCATTCTTTCACTCAACATTTAATTGACTAGTTTGCTCCATTCTCCCAGATCACATATTTGCCCAGAAGTGTATGTGTGGGTGGTGGTAGACAGTTGGACTTTTCCCCCACCTTCTTTGAGGTGTTAGTAAATGATGCACTCCCAGCACCAAATAATGCTAGGTACCCTATTGGTAATGAGTCTCTCATAGGATTTTTTGGCAAATTTATTCAAATTAAGTTTGCCACTTCCTTCTTCTTAGTCACAATGTCTTTCTAGCTTTTACATTGTGATCTCAGATGTTCTACCTGACATATCTTATGAACTTGGTATGTGACAGCATTCTTGGAGATCTGTTGATGTTCTTGAGCTCCAGAGAGACATGTTTCATAGTGCAAAGGAAAGCTGACTCATTTTTTTTAAAAAAAAAAACCAACAACTGTGATTCATAAACTGTTTGTTCCTTTTATTTACTCCTTTAAGTCTTCTGGTATACAGTCTCCATTAAAATTCACAGGGAAACCATTCAGTGGTGGGAAAGAAAGAGCAATTCATTGCAAATGACTTGATCAAAATCTTGAACATACAGGCAGATCCCAAGTTACTAATATCCAACTTACAAATGATTCATAGTTACAAACAGGAGTGAGACAACAGAAAGTGATAGAAATCTACTCCTAGGAAGGGAAAGTCACTCTTAAAAGAGTTAACATGGGGAAAAGGTATCTCAACTGAAACTTTATTACCAATCCTTGTTTACACAACCAGCCAAATTTTCCAAAATTATCACAGGGACAGAAAGTGAGGTGAAACCTACTGAACAGGGGCAGAGACAGCAAAATAAACACTACATAGGTGTTAGCCCTTCCCTATGCTTGCTTAGCACAGGGGCTGGAATTATACTTTAAAATGTACCTGTTCTGACTTACACATTCAATCTAAGAACAAACCTACAGAGCCTTGTTCTTAACTTGCGGACTGCCTATTCTGTATTCTTACTTGTTTTTTTATTACAGACCTTCTTACCTTTGAAATGGATGGCACCTGAAAGCATCTTCAACAACCTGTACACTACCTTAAGTGATGTGTGGTCCTTTGGGATCCTTCTATGGGAAATATTCACTCTGGGTAAGTAATACAGGTCAATATTATCAAGCATTCATTTGATACCTTCTGTGTTTTATATTTCACTGCAAAATGAAAATCAGGATGGGTAATTTGCAGTTAAGGGGCTGGAGAACCCTACTATTGAAGGGGAGGACACCCACCTCCCACAACATCCCCCAGTGTAAGCATTTTTTGTCTTCTCTGGACCAAACCTCCAAATTACATCCTGTTTGGAATTAAGAATGGAGAGGTGTGTCAGTGTAATAGCCTCTCCAGAGCCTAAAATGGAGAGGGGAGAGTGCCAAAACTGCTTCCCATGCTCTGCAGGGAGTGTTTATGGGGGAATCTTTCTGGCAAAAAATAAATCAAAATGTTAGGAGCTTTTAGGACACAAAAAATATTCTGGCACTTCATCTTCTCACTCCTGGTTCATATGCGGGGATGGAAAAACACTCTTTTTCTGGTTCTTCTCATGCCATACACATTTTCACTCCAGCCTTCTATTACTTTGTTTATTAACACTGCTACACTGTAATGAAAAAGATTTCCAAGAAAAAAAATTACATTGCATCGGCATGAAATATAAGGAGTTTATCCATTACCCTATTAGCTTAATCTCTTTTTGATATCTAAATTCCTAGGTGGGACTCCATATCCTGAACTGCCCATGAATGAACAATTCTACAATGCCATCAAGCGTGGTTACCGAATGTCTAAGCCAACTCATGCATCTAATGAGATGTGAGCATACATATTAATCTTTCATACACTGGAAAAGTTATGCATTTTCCCAGTACATAATTTTCAAAATTGTTTTCTCTTCCTTAACCCTTCTTCTTTCCAGCTATGAAATCATGCAGAAATGCTGGGAGGAAAAATTTGAGATCAGACCATCTTTCTCTCAGCTAGTGATGCTCTTGGGGAATCTGCTGACAGAAAACTATAGGAAGGTAAGATGTCCCATGCTGGCATGATAGAGAAGAAAGAAGCACCTTATGATTGTAGCATTGGTACATTAATGGTTGTAATGGCATTCAAAATCTACCAATGAAATATTATCCATAGTCATGATAAGATTTGCTAATATAATAAGACCTGGTTTGTACATAAGACTGAAAGGCCATGCCATGTACATGAGTGCCTTTATGGCCATCCTTTTTTATTTTTTTCAGAGGTATCAACAGGTTAATGAAGAATTCTTGAAGAGTGATCACCCTGCAGTTGTGAGAACAAGGCCCAGAAATGTGGGACTCAACAATTCCAGGTCCACTGCCAACTCCAATGCCAGTTCAAGCTCTGTGCTTTATACTACTGTGGAGCAGAACGGACTAGACAATGATTACATCATTCCTTTGCCTGACCCTAAACCCGAAGGAGTCAATGACAACCCTCAGGAGGGCTCCAGTAGTCGGGCAAGGTGAGCATCTCCTCCATCTTCTCTTTTACTGTGACATTATTCAGTTGAATCTCAAAATTCCTCCATTCTGAAAATGTTCTTTGCAAACCATATAGGTTTGTAACATAATGGGAGGGAGAAATGTTTGATGAACATGCAGTACACTAGGGAAAAGTTTCCAAAATGTTGAAATCTACTTGTTTCCTTTTGAGTAATATATGCACTGAGCAGTCTTTTAAAGTGTTTCATATGAGGTTCAATATCCCCTATCCAAAATGCTTAAAGGCAGAAATGTTCCTCCCCCCCCCCCCCCCCCCCCCCCAGATTTTGGAATACTTGCGTATACAAAATGAGATACCTTGGAAATGAGATCCAAGGCTAAACATGAAATTCATTTCTGCTTCACACATACACAGAAGATAATTTTAAACATAGTAAAATTATGAAGCACAGAGGTCTCAGCCACCCATGTGGACAATTTTAATTTACTGTTTCCCCATTTTCCCCTTCAGTTCTACATTGAATGAAGCAAACACATCATCTACTCTATCCTGTGACAGCCCTCTATCACATCAGCAAGATGAAGAAGAACAAGAACAAGAAGAACAAGAACTAAAGCCAGACTGCTAGGGTCACTAGAGCTCCCTCTGTGTGTGTGTGTGTGTGTGTGCGTGTGTGCCTATGTTCCTGTGGCAGTAGTGCTAGGCAGTAGTGGTAGGGACTGCTAATGAAAAACTTACACATTCTTTCCTTCTTTCCTCTTCAGCCCAAAACAGAACCCAGAAATAGCAACATGTAACAAACTTTCCTGTCACTAAGAGTACATCCCTACCTAACAATAGGTTTGCAGTCCATATTAACATAGGCAAAATGTATGTCAGGACCTAGCTTTTGTGGCTGCCATGCTCCTTAAAAGGAATGGTTTTCTTTCCATTATTTAAACTAGAGGTTGTGTTGGGGGCTGGTCCCCTGAGAGACCTTGCACAGAACACACAAAATGCCATTTATTTTTTATACCCAAATGGTTTCTAAGGATTTTCAGCTCAAGGAAGGGCTTTTCTCCCAGCAGCAGATGACCCAACATGCAAATTTGTGGGCATTTAGGGGCAAAATGTTTTTTTAACCTATTTTTTTAACCCTGTGGGCCAAAAACATGGACCTGAGTGGCCTCATGCAGTCTGCAAGGTACACTTTGTCCACTGCAGTCTGAACAGAGAATTCATTTTCCATCCACACACCCCAATCCCAAACCAAGATATTATTCAGACTCTGTTTGAAAGGTCACTCTTCCTTAAATAGCCCTCTGACCCTACTGCAAGGGGGGGGGGTATATTTATGGATCAAACTAGTCTCTGCTCTCTATAATAAAGCATGCCCTATTGTATCATATGGGAAAAAGGCATCCAGGGCCTCTGGTGTAAATACCTTTCCTTGTTTCATTTTCTGTTACTTGCAAGTTTATTGTTCACACCAGGAGCTATTCAGTTACTAGAGGATCAGAGCTTTTAAAAGTTTGTCCTAAAAATGTGGATGGATAATGATGTGTGCGTGAATTTCTGTGTATGTGTGTACATGTGCTTAAAGCTCAACAATGAGGCACAGAGAAGTGACTTATCTACAGTTTTGGCCAATTTCCCAGAATTCTCCATTCAGGGCAGTATTATGGTGATGACCATCAAAAGAGCAAACTCAAACATTTAAATTGAGCTGTGTTCTTTTTTTTTTCCTGGGTTCTGCAGTGTTTTAGCAGCAGGCCAAACAATTTAGCAATAAGGGTACAGTATTGCAGGTACAATGGATTACAGGTACTTAAGGCTCTACAGTTGTCTAAACTGGACCTCAAATAGTATCTTCCTTGCCCAAGGCCATACAGAACAAATGGAGGCTGGCAGCTTATGATTCAAATGTGGCAACAGCAGGACATCCCATTGCCAAGTTCCTCTGCGTATGACATATTTTCAGCATATCACTAATCTTACCAGAATTCGTGGAACTGTCTGAGGCCAATACAAGAATGAAAAATGCCTGAGCCGCTTGGGAAGACAGGCTTTCTGCTTGGATGGAAGCAAACTCTTCACCTTGGATGGACACCACTCAGTCTGCTATCAGTAGATGCACAATCCTGATCTTCTTCTAGTGGTGGGAAGGGGAGAGTTGGCTGGTACTTTCTGTGAAGATGCAGATCCAGGCATTATTATAGAAGGAACCTTATGAGAAATAAGCATTTGAGGATAATCTAAGGTGAGAAGACACCAGATCCCAAAGGCACCCACCGAACCATCTTTTTAAAAACCAAGTTAGTATTTTTAAATGATCAAATAGGTCCCTTTCTCTTGTTTTGGTATGTCTTCTATCTTTGCTGATGTTACTGTGGTGATCAGCTTTTGCCATCAGATGCCATTTAGCCAAACAAGTGATTAGTAAGTGGTTTGAAGTGTGATTAACAGTCTATTTTGTGTGAGTCATGACAATTTCTGTCAATGTGCCTGAGGGCCAAACTATGCGTATGCAGAATGAGGTGGCAGATTTCTGTGCCACTACCATCCCAACGTACTATTGATTCAAGGGTGGTATCAGCCTCTGGAGTCAGTGGTAGGTTCTTTCTCAAGACAAAAAGACAGCAGGATTTTGAAATACTGGTGAATATACTAACCCGTCTCTTCCCTTGCACCATAGTTAGTCTTAGTGGATCTCTCTAGTGACCGCTACATTAACTTGAAAAAAAGTGAAATAGCGGACCAGACTTCATGTATTTTCTTTGTTGGTCCTCATTCTGCCTTATGTGTAGATCAGCTCCAGCTTTACTACGGCCTCAAAGTCACCAGCTAGAAAACCAAGAACTGCCCTAGTTCTTTTCTGGCACTGGTGTCCCTTCCGTTTTACTAAAATTGCATACCGACTTGTGTTCCCAGCATTTTGTTATCAACCATTTTGTATAATTTTGGACCATCTTTTCAACTGTCTTCCATACAGAAATATGGGCAGAGGAAAGCTTCTTTCTCCTGCTAGGGCAATCTATTTACCACTTTTGTCACATGTGGGTGTTTTTTAAAAAAAACTGCTACTACTCCTCCATTTTGTATTAGCTCTTTTTCTAGCCATTGTCAGTATTTGTTTATACAGATTAAGCAATAACCATAGAACCAAGGAGTATTTTTGAAAGAAGCTGCTATATATAAAAGGAAGAGTGTCCAGAAAAGGCATTCTCTAAATCATTAGCAGGAAGTGATAGGATTTTGGTGAAATCAGAACTTGGTATTTTGGACTATATTTCCCAGAATAGTCATGATGATTGAGGGATTTTGAGGTGGAAGTCCTATAAAAGGTACATCTGATTTCATGTAAGTAACCATCTTGGTTACTTAATGGATTTTAGTCTCATCTGAAAAATATTCCAACATTTTAAGAGCACAATCACCATTAAAGGCATATAGTGACTTAGCAAGAGCTGAATCTGTGCCTTTACTTTCCCGAAGGAGTATAGAACAACCTTGTTTGTCTTTGGCTCCACATAGTGATATAATCTTGGGCTTGACACCAGGGCAAGTAGAGTGACCAGCCAAGGTGAGGTCCACCACCAGTTAGTGCAACATAGTCTAAAACAGTCCAATTTCAACTTTTTCTTCAAACTGCTCCTCAATCAAAAGCTGAATGATATGGAATTTGTCATTAAGGGAGTGAATCTATGATCACAGGGCATTTCATATAGAGGCATTTCAAATGCTGGTCTGTTGGGCCCCCAGTTACCAGAATCATACCAGACATAGTGGGTGCTACATTCTCAAAGTTTCATACTAGTAGAAAGCCCCAAACCACATGGGATTACATTTGGCCACTGACAAGATTATAGCTCAGAAGATAGTAAATCAGAGTTCCATGCTACTCCTATAAGATTTATAGACATAATGCAGTCTCTTATTCCTCCACCCCTCCCCCAAAAGTGGATCACTCTTCCTTAGTTCTGTTTCTTCACATTGCTGTCATTGTGTCATGCTTCAATTTATTTTTATTTTTATAACGGTATAGAGATGAGCCAAAACGGAATCTTTTCATTCCAATGGAAACATACTAAACTCTAGAATGTCTCAAATCCATGTTTCATGTTTAGTCTCATCTCCTGGAGTATTGCATTTACCTTTCTATAACATTTTAATTTACAGCTCTTGCAACATTACAAACTCCAATATATGCACCTTTTTCAACCAATCACACCTGTTACATAGCCAGAATATACCAGAAAAAAGTCACACTACAGTGTTTTGAAATGCATATAAGATTGATGTATATACAGTTTTTACTTTTTGTCTTTATCTTTTTTTTTTTACTGCTTTGTGTTTATTAAGTGAGGGACAGAAAGTAGTGCAGAGTTATATTTTTGTTATTGCTGTGTAATCCAGAGCACATTGGGCCTTGCAATAAATGTGTTGCCTTGTCCACTCTTCCAAGAGCCAATAGGTCCATCATAGATGGAAGGACAGGAAACAGAAGTGCAATTAAGCAATGAGATGGAAGTTGGCCAATTCTGGCATATCAAAGCCCTCCTCACCCACATCCAACATAGTTTCACCAGCTCCGTGAAACGAACAGACCATTCCGTAATGGTATGTTTGAAATCCACTGAGCTCCAAACTGGTGGTTAAAGTAAAGTTAGAGGATCAAGGTGGTTCCCTTTTATTTGCAAACTTCCACAGATGTCCAAATGTAAAGATAACCCTTTCTCAGATGACATTTGCAATTAGCCTTTGGTTCGATCCAGATTTTGCCTTTGCTGGAGTAGGCCCATTAAAACCCATAGGATTTATGTTGGTCCCATTTACTCTAGTAGGTCTATTCAAAGTACTGTACGTCTAAATTGAGGCCTAAATTTTTACCATTGCTATGTCTTTGTCTGAATCCAAAATGCATATTCCTTTAAAATAAGCAGAATGTTTTCATTCTTGTTCTGGTGACAGTTCTCTGAAAATGGGTTAAGTCATATTTAGTAGTTTATGTGTACATATATTAACCATGTACATATAGCATAGAGGGAATTTGCATTTGCCTTACCCCTGGCTCAATTTCTAAGGGATATAAAAGGGGTGTTTGATGTATTGGTTGTGCCCCCAAAAGCTGGTGATCCTGAAGTCTAGATGGGAATTATAGCAGATGTTAGATTGCAACTTCCAGCAGTCCTAGTCATGGCAAGGAATTCTGGAAGCTACAAGCTAACAATATTTGGAGGACTACATGATTATCATTCCTATCCTAAAGAAAAGACATGGTGGTGGTTAAATTGCCATTCAGAGAGCAAAATGGCCTTGACAGTGGCTTCCTGCAGGTGGCAAATAATGTTCTGTGACTTGGGAATGTTCAGAAAGCACAACAAAACCAGAATTAATTTTCTCCATTATTTGCTACTGATTATAGTTCAAAGAGCGGGAACTGTTTGTACTTTAATCTCACGATTTGTCCCCAATTGTTGCTGTTTGTTTTGCTTCCTGCAGATTTTGTACAAAAAATTAATACCTCATGCAATTAGCCCAGATTACCGTCACATGAAATCCCTCTTTCCAATTATTCCCTTCCTTCTCCCTGTTAAAAATATTTTATTTGTTCATTAATTGCATGCAGATGCATTCCTGAACTAGTTTAGCTTGCAAATATCTATCTCATTTTCATTTTGGAAGAGACAGAGGAAGCTGTTTCTAATCATCTCCAAAGTTAGTAGAACTCGAGGTGTGAAGGTGAAGTGTCTCCAGGGGGAGGTTAGGCCTACATATTTCAGATGGCAATTGGATAGAGGCCACATTGATTTCATTCTGCACATTTGCCATTTCTTATTGCTTTACATCGGATAGGTGCATCTCTGAAGCACTCAAAGAGGAGATGTTTGCAGAGGACAATTAGACTGATTCCTGAATTACATTTGCAAATTTGAATCACACTGTGTGTGAAAAGTGTGCACATACACAAATAAAAGTGGTGAGGAAGTGATGTCCATATTCTCACCTGTACATCCCACTACCCTCTGCTTGATGTGTACCAGATCCAAGAGGCTCACAACATTCCAGGCCTCCAAAGCAACTTGCACGAGTCAACTTAGTTTTCATGGCAGAATCATCATGCACCCAGTTCTCTTGAACTTGAGGTTGGCGTATTCACCCCTAACCCAGGTCCTTGCCTCCTAGCAGACCCATAGAGATTCTTCCCTACTTGCAGTGCTCTCTGAATGGGAAAACAAGACCCCATGATGTTTTTCTCCCATTTGAATTCTTCCCTAAACCACCATGGGGGCAAAAATGTGTTTTGAACAAAGGTACCAAAGATTTAGCATTATCCTAGGTTTACAAATGTATGTTAAGACTCATTAAACCATGTTTATATCAGTGAAATACTATTTTATTCTGTAAACTTGACATATGTATTTTTAAAGAATGTTTTTTAAAGAATTAAAAGAGCTTCTTTTTGAAACTTAGTGCCTCTTCTGTTTCTGGAAATGTGGGTTAAGGCTTCCCTTCAGTTTCTCTGTACTGAACAGGGTTCCCAGCATCAAGCAGAAGAATGTTAATATGCTTAGTGTAACTCCACAGCTTAGGACAATCTTAGCTGTGGTACCAAGGAGAGAGGGGGCACACGTAGAGCTATGCCAAAGAGTGCAATGGGAGTCGGAAGGGACAAATAGAAGAGTATTTTTAAAATATTGAGCAGAGTCATTGGGTTGTACAAAAGAAGGTAAGTGAAAAGAATGGGTTGTAGGTGCCATTTGGCTGTATGAGAAGAAATGAAGCCGCACAAGTTTCCCAAAAGCAGGTGTGGAGTTTCTAAAAAGCAGGTGCTGTGTGTGCTTTCCTACATCCCTGGAAATGTGATCCCTGGCCAAATAACACCTCCTTCAAGCTCTGGGACTCTTCTGATGTCTGGACCTCCACCAGAGTCAAATCAGCACTGAAGATGAGAATGGAAATTATATCCTGTAGCCATAAATTATGAATGCTGGTTTGAACATGATTTTTAAAAAATTCTATGTGGAAGGAGAGTGATGCAAACTGTGCCTCTTCTTCATTAACATCAAAGTTGGATTGAAGCTCTTCCGAACCCGTGAACACAGACTGCAACATCCACACATCTGATAGTGTCAGGGAGCACTCTACGCATCTCCATTGGCCTAGTTGCACCTAATCTTCCAGCAGCGAAAAGGTGAGAGATGCAACATTTTGTGCATATTTCACATCCAAAATTAAGGCTCAAGATGCTGTCCTCGTCTGACCTGCTCTTGGGTTGGGATAACTTGGAAATCATTATAATCCCATGATTTCTGGAAATGGGTGGGGAAACAAATATATGTATTGATTTATGTGTTTTTTCTGGTTTTCCATATATATTGATTTAATCTCCAAATGATCAACTAGACTAAATATTATCTAAAACTTTATCCCTAGCAAGAGGCAAAAGCCTTAAATGCTCTCTAAAAATATCTTGGAGGCCATTATTCCCATTTCCAAAACATTATTTACTTTTAAGCAAGAAACATGCATGTCTTCTCCAAAAATAACTTGGAATCTTGTTGTCTGGAATATCTTCCAAATCCAGATTCAAACTGAATTGTTGCAAATTTTTGAATGCATTCTGGATTTTTCTAATACAGTAGAGTCTCACTTATCCAACCTTCACTCATCCAACATTCTGTATTATCCAACACAGTCTGCTTCCCACCCGGAATAATGTCCAGGGTGGGAGAAAGAAAGAACTCTTGTCTGTTTTCATGCTAAAATCATAAATACAGTTATTACTACATAATATTTCTGTGTATTGAACTCTTTTTCTGTTGATTTGTTGTAAAACATGTTGTTTTGGTGCTTAATTTGTAAAATCATAATGCAATTTGACATTCAATAGGCTTGTCCCTATTCAACATTTTCACTTATCCAACACCAGTCCGTTTATGTTAGATAAGCAAGACTCTACTGTATATGAAAAGGTAAAGGTTTCCCCTGACATTAAGTCTAGTCGTGTCCAACTCTAGGGTGTGGTGCTCATCTCCATTTCTAAGCTAAAGTGCCGGTGTTGTCCGTAGACACCTCCAAGTTCATGTGGCTGGCATGACTGCATGAAGCACCATAACCTTCCTGAAGAAGCGGTACCTATCGATCTATTCATATTTGCATGTTTTCAAACTGCTAGGTTGGCAGAAGCTGGGCCTAACAGTGAGAGCTTATCCTGCCCCCTGGATTCAAATTGCCAACCTTTCAGTCAGCAAGTTCAGCAGCTCAGCGGTTTAACTGCTGTGTCACCAGGGGGCCCCTTTTCTAATACACACACACGCCTTTTAAAAAGCATACCCCAGCCCCCACATTGGAATGCCTACTCCTGAGAAACTGTCCCAAAACTTGCATTGTGGTCATTTGGGTGTAAGATGAAACTGTAAAAGACAATCTCTAGGCTGTTTATTGTTCAACTTTTAAAAGTGATTGCTTTTCTGGTCTTGAATTGCTGCTAATATTTATATGCAGTTTAGCTTAGTTTAATTTTAAACCTTTTTGGTGCTTCCATAATATTTTTAAAACATATAATTTTTATAGTTTTAAGTTGTCTGTGGTGAACTGCTGAAACAACCAAATTATTCAGGAAAATTATTTGGCCTTGTAAAATGGTAGTTTTAATGCAGAAGTTTTAATGCTTCCACGTGAAAATGTATAGTTGTCTGCTTCATGTGAATAATCTAGTCCCAAGCATTCCGTTCTTAAAAAGGGAAGAAAAAATAAGCTGAAAGTTTCAAAACCCCTTGCCTTTTTCAATCAGTCTTTTGGCAACGTATTGTGGGTTTCCCCCCTCCCTTTTACTTCTGTTCTCAGCATTGAAATGTTATTCAAAAATGAAAGGACCCACCACTTATTTGCTATTAAACTTGCAAGTACATTGTAACTCTAAAATTGTCACTTGCAAATAGTTATAACACTTATTGACATGTTAATGTTTACAAAAAAAGTGACTAAAATGGCAATATTTTGAGGAGCAACATTTTGCAATGACAATGAAACATGGCTCACTCTGTAAATATTGCTTCACCAATAGCACTCACATTAAAAATGTTAAGAAATAATACCTCCGTCTTCTTTAATTTTGAAAAAACAACAGTAAATTTTAATGAATAGCAATGTTACTTTTGATGTATGGATTCCATTCCTACATCTGGATTGTAGGCTCCTTAACTGATTCTAAATTGATCAAGGATTCATATGCATGTGTAGAATGAGAAAAGAGGCCTCCGCAGAAGTATCTGAAATTTATTATAAAGCTATTCTACCTTGTAAACCTTGGCCCCATGTACACTGACTATTCAATGCAGTTTCACACCAGGATTGAAGAAAGTGTTTTTTGCTGTGCAAATGGTTACATTGGAAATTCTGGAATCAGCTTCAGGCCCAGATGATGATGGCACAAAACACTGGTACACATTAAAGGCTTCCTTTTACACGCTTTTGTGAATTTGTTGTCTGGCCGCTGCAGTTTGAAACCAACTTTAAATTGCATTAAATGGTCAGTGTAGATGGAGCCTATGTTGACCCCCAGTTTGTGGAACACAATATAAGATGAGTCTTGAGGCTTGTCTACATGGACAAAAAATTGTAGGTGCTGCAATCCTGTTATGCAATGTCCTTGATAATTAACTTGCAATGAGGTTCCTTGGGCTTTAATCCAGATTGGAAAACCTTGCCTTTAGGCTGGATCTACACTGCCCTATATACCAGGATCTGATTCTAGATGATCTTCTTATCCCAGATTATCTGGCAGTGTAGACTCATATACTCCTGTTCAAAGCAGATAATCTGGAATCAGATACTGGGATACATGACATCCAGTAGATCCAGCCTTAGGTCATTTCTACACTGACTTATATCCCAGGATTATCTGCTTTAAACTGAATTATATGAGGACTCTTCTACACATGCTCTAAAACCCAGAAGTAACTGCATTAAAGGGGGCAGTGGCTAAATGAAGTTTAATCAAAGTGTGGGAGGGATCAGGTTAAGATCTAAAAAATACGTGTTTAAAAAGTGCACTTAAAGCTCGATTCAGCCCAAAAAAGTGCACCTTTGCATGATTGTATATCTTGGTAGTCATGCAAAATATGTGCTGTCTTTCCCACTCCAGCACACATGTACTTTTTAAACACCCAAAACAGCTGATCAGAGTGTCAAACGGACACACTGGTGGTTCCAAGGAAGCATAAATAGAGAACAATTAGAACTCTTTGAAACTCTTTGTTTTACACTTTATAATCTTAAACAGAGGTTGAACTAAGAATTGGGGGAAGAGAGAAATCCAACTGAAGATTTTTAAAAAATCTTGATCTGCTATAGAGAAAGGTTGTGAGGATGGTGGGGGGCCATTTCCAGGGACTGACTGATCTGTGTATGAACCTGCTGTCAGGTCCCAGGATTTTTTGACTCAGTTATAAAACGCGGATTTTGACACTGTCTGGAAGTGCCCTGAGTTTCCATTTACAGATAATCTGGGATAAGGAGATAATCTGGGATCAGAGCATTGGATATTGGGGCTGTGTGGAAGGGGCCAGATTCTTTGTAATTTTGCAAAAAAAACTCCAGGTTTTTTTTTATATGCAGCCCTCTAGATGGAATCACTTTATTTTGCAGTTGGACAGGGGAAGGAGTTAGTAGTTGACAGAACAAGGAAGTCATCATTCCTACAGGCATGTGGTTCTTTACTGAGTTGTATTTTTATTTTTCAGAATGTGTATGTGCATGTGTGTGCAGATACTTGTGTATCAGTATATCAAAATTAGCACACCCCACTTAACAATAGTAAGTATATCAAAATTAGTACACCCACTTAACAATTGGCACACCTCACTTAACAATTCTGCCTACTATAGGCACCCAGATAAAGGGCATGACTGCAATGACTTCACTTCACTTAGGCGATCCCTCATTGGACGAGTAGGATAGTCTTCCAGAATCAGTATTCTGCAATGACACTCTCCGTCATATTCAACGGAATATTGCAAATAAGCATACTGATGCAGACTGTGGCCAGGAAATCAGAAGACGCTTACTTCTTGGGAGGAGAACAATGTCCAGTCTCGATAAAATAGTAAAGAGTAGAGACATCAGACTGGCAACAAAGATCCGCCTAGTCAAAGCCATGGTATTCCCTGTAGTAACCTACGGATGTGAGAGCTGGACCTTAGGGAAGGCTGAGCGAAGGAAGATCGATACTTTTGAGCTGTGGTGTTGGAGGAAAGTTCTGAGAGTGCCTTGGACTGCGAGAAGATCCAACCAGTCCATCCTCCAGGAAATAAAGCCCGACTGCTCACTGGAGGGAAGGATACTAGAGACAAAGTTGAAGTACTTTGGCCACATCATGAGGAGACAGGAAAGCCTAGAGAAGACAATTAGGCTGGGGAAAGTGGAAGGCAAAAGGAAGAGGGGCCGACCAAGGACAAGATGGATGGATGGCATCCTTGAAGCGACTGGACTGACCTTGAAGGAGCTGGGGGTGGTGACGGCCGACAGGGAGCTCTGGCGTGGACTGGTCCATGAGGTCATGAAGAGTCGGAGACGACTGAATGAATGAACAACAACAAGCATACTGAAGTTTCCCTTTAACTGATAGCTTGATATGGCCCATATTGGATGCAAATCAGTTGCAGCCAAGATGAAGAAAGGGGCTGGGCAACCTTTTCGTTACAGTCCTAGACTTGATTCATATGGGAAAGCTGAGCTGTGGCAGTCATGGCTGGTAATTTTCGTCTATCAACACTCAGTAGGAGTTGAGTCAACAAGCAGGAAAAATAATCATCTCTTTCCCATCAAAGAAAAAAGTCTGTTTTATGAGCAGCTAGCCTCCTCCTTGTTTATGCTCAGGCCTTTTGTGCGAAGGAAAGAACTGAACAAACTCTATGTGGTGGCAGCAAAATCTTAGGTGTTTGGGAATGAAAACTAAAACCTCTAGTTGGAGTTGCATCTATGGCCTGAAAGGGAAGGCTGACAGGAGAAAGCTGATGAACTTCATGCTTCAACAGTGTTCATACAAGTCTCAGGCACTGCACTTTGCTGATCCCAGAGAGCAATGTGGGATAGGAGCAAGGAAGAATATTGTGTGGCTATATTCTTCTACACTGCCATGTAAAATCCAGATTATCTGCTTTGCACTGGGTTATATGGCATTGTAGACTCATAAAATCCAGTTCAAATCAGATAATGGGGGTTATCTGCATTCATAATCTGGATTATATGACAGTGTAGAAGGGGCCTAAATATGGAGCCCCCAGTGGCTCCATATTAAATCCCTGTGCCGGCAGTACTGAAAACCGACAGGTTGCAGGTTCGAATCCGGGGAGAGGTGGATGAGCTCCCTCTATCAGCTCCAGCTCCTCATGCGGGGACATGAGAGAAGCCTCCCACAAGGATGATAAAAACATCAAATCATCCGGGTGTCCCCTGGGCAACGTCCTTGCAGACAGCCAATTCTCTCACATCAGAAGTGACTTGTAGTTTCTCAAGTCGCTCCTGACACGACAAAAATAAAAATTAAAAAGGGGCCTAAATCGGAGCATCTGCAAAATATCACAAAACGAGTAATACCAAGGCCCTTTCCACACTACTGCATAAACTCCACATTGAACTGGATTATATGGTAGTGTGTACTCAGATAATCCAGTTCAAAACAGATATTGTGGGTTATCTGCCTTGATATTCTGGGTTATATGACTGTGTGGAAAGGCCCTAAGTAAAAAGCCCTCTTTTCCCCCCTAAGAGCAGAATATATGTGAATGATAGAAGATAGAAGGGTACATCCACACTGTATAATTAAGGCTATTTGACAGCACTTTAGGTGTCATGGCTCAATGCTATGAAATCCTGGGATTTGTAGCTTGGTAAGGCTTCCAGCCCTATTTGGCAGAGAAGACCTTGTCAAATTACAATTTGCTAGCATTCATTTTTCACTGTAAATGGATCCTATGTCTTCTTCAAAGACCAGGATACTTTGGTACCTATGAAAACCTCTTAAATACTTACAATACTTTAAATATAATTCGCTATCTGATTTGAGAGATTTTCATAGGTAAGAGTTACTTTTGAGATACACTACTGAATGTAGTGCTGCTTCCCATACGCAAAAGATTATTTTTGTTAAGCATACTTTAAAAACATTGGTTCGGTTTTTGAAAATCAGAAGTACATTTTTGCAAGCCTTACAGTTAAAGTTTTGGGCTTGTTGTCTGTCTGGTGCCTTTCTGCAGTGAGCATCTTTGTGGAGAGAAACAACCGAGAGGCCACTGAGAGACAGTTTCCTCTCCCAGCAGATGATTTAGTACTTGTTCCTTCCTTCGAGTGAGTCAAGTTCCCTTTGAGTTGGCATTTGTTCTTGGAAAAATAAAGAAATAGAGAAATAAATGTTTTTTTTAATTCCCCTTTGGTTAAAAACACAAGTGATCAAGACTTTTGAGCAGTAATATGACCAGCCTAGATTATTGTTTTCTTAATTGCATATCAAATACATTACTGAAAGTTTTAAACCTCATAAATCACTCACTAAACCACATTTCATAGTTCACAAACAATTAAATAAATCAATACAGGCAGTCCCCAAGTTACGAATAAGATAGGTTCTGTAGGTTTGTTCTTAAGTTGAAAGCTTCAGTGTAGACACCTTTTCCCCATAATAACTCTTTCAGAGTGAATTTCCCTTCAAAGGAGTAGATTTCTCTCACTTCCTGTTGCCTTAAGCTCATTCTTAACTATGAGTCAGTTGTAAGTCGGATATTTCTAACTCAAGGACTGCCTGCACTTTATAGTTTTCACACAACCTTACCATCACACACATTATTCATTTTGTGAATTTTTCTTAGCTTAACTGCTTTGTTCACACCTGTTTCTCTATGATACATTTTCCACAGTCTACACAAGCAACTCCTTCAATAAGCTTCCATTTGCTCTCTCCCCTTGTCTTTTCCCAGCTTCTTCTTTCCTCAGGGAGGAGAGCATGGGAGCAGGGTATCAGTATCATCATCATAATCACTTTGTTTATCTTGTGCCATTGCAGTGTCCTTCACTTGCTTTTTCTACCCCATCACTCACTCACTAAGGCAGCATGCCTGGAATCAGCGTAAAGTCTGGATTGCACTGTGTATACCATTGTTATCCGTCATCACTATTCATTAGTCAAGCTACAGCTGACTACTGGCTAGACATGCTCTGCTTTGGAGCATATCAACAATGGATATTGAAACAACTCCCACTAGGGTGGCTATTTTTTTTTTCACCATGGTGGCACAACGGGTTAAACCATTGAGCTGCTGAACTTGCTGATCAGTAGATTTATGGTTCTAATCTGTGGAACAGGATGAGCTCCCTCTGTTAGCCCCAGCTTCTGCCAACCTAGCAGTTTGAAAACATGCAAATGTGAGTAGATCAATAGGTACCACCTCGGCAAGAAGATAAACGGCACTCCATGTAATCATGCCAGCCACATGGACTAGGAGGTGCCTTGGCTTAGAAATGGAGATGAGCACCACCCCTCTGAGCCAGAGATGAGAACCACCCTTCAGAGCAGGAAGGGGAAGCCTTTACCTTTATCTGTGTTTTGTTGTTTCCAGGCATTGAATGTTTGCCTTTGTGTTTATGTATGCTCTAATTTGCCCTGAGTCCCCTTGGAGAGATAGGGCAGAATACAAATAAAGTGTTATTGCTAATAATAATAATAATAATAATAATAATAATAATAATAATAATAATAATAATAATAATATAAGCATTTGAGTCCCAAGCTTTTAAGTTATTTGAATGGGGTATGCAGCTGTTTTATGACTGTTGGGATGTTTTCTGCTGACCTACTTCCAGTTACCTTTCCAACCTCTGCATTTTGAAATCGACTGCAATTTCCAAATAGCCTTCAAAGTCAGCCTCACATATAATGCAATTGAGTAATTCAAATGAGATTCTACTGGAGTGTGGATCAACATGGTGATGTTATCTTTGGCTGTCATGAATGGTGAAACAGGAAGGCCCTCCATACCGCTGTGGACATGTGGCATTCCAATGACAATGTCAGATGTACTAGCACCATCAAAATTTAAAATAGGGCACCATATTCCAAATCATCCGATCTATCCAACTATAATACTCCCATAATCTATGCTTCCATCATAGCTGGATTGTTTGAGTTTACTGGCCACCGTTCACTATTTCCACATTCTAAATTTGATAAAAAGGAGAAATAGAGCTGGGTGAAGTGGTGACATCTCACCTTGGATGTCTACTTGACATTTGAAAAGGGTGGATATAAATTAAATAAAACCATTTATTAACGGGTTTATTGATTTTTGCAGATCTTAAACAGAACAACAATTGTGACCCAGCAACATTTTTGCAAATGGCTTTCTAAGGGAGAATGATCTTACTTAAACAGTTGGCCATATTTTCAATTCCAGAAAGGGAAGATCAGTCATCTAGGTAATTAATCTATTTTTATGTCAGAATTTCTGTCCTATACAACCATGTTTGGAATAAACAGAAGCCTTGCAGCTAAATCTTTTGCAGATTTTGGTTGTGGGGTGGGTGGAGCTGGGGCTGCCACATGGCTCTGTGATCGGTTCTCCTCTTCCCAGCCAACTCTACCCATGAGGAGGCTGGGGGGCAAGTGCATGGATCACCAGCCAGTGACATTTGAACCCATGTGCCAACCAAAGTGAAAACTAGGTTTACACTCCTGTCAGATTGGGGGTACAAAGGTGCCTCCCAGGAGTGCCCTGTTTATGCAACTCCCCATGAATCCAGGAGTCTTCCTCATATACCATATTCTGAGGTGAACAAGCAGCAGGTGGTCAAAGGTGCCTCAGTGGTAGAATCTATTATGATTCATCTGGAAAATAACCCCCATAATCTGGATGTAATGTATGCCCTCAAATTATTGCATTAAAAAATATAGGATCCACAAAACAGCACCAGTTATTGTGCTCATGCATAGCTAGATTATGGCCCATGTGAAAAACAAAACACACAGGGTTATTCTGAAGTACAGATACTTCTGTCCTTTTACTTCTCATTTTCATCTGCTGATGAATCAAAATTCATTGAGGAAGGTGAAGGAGAGTTCGTTGCCTATGTTTTCATGCTCTGCTTGCTGTGTGTTGTCCCTGGTTTTTACCTAAGATATGTCAACAAACTATATCATAACTTATTTATTTTTGATGCCATACAATACTACATTATTAAAAATCATAAGAACACAAGAAGAACCCTGAATCAGACCAAAGGCAGAGCTAACACATTTTGAATTTTATTACTGACCATAGATCCATCTCTGCTTTTCATACAGAATGTATCCCACTCTTTAACTCCATTGCATCACATTTCCATTATGATTCTTATATCAAGAAGTCTAATTTTGTCTTGGAAGAACTAGTATGTAAAGATCCCTCTCCAAATGTTTCTGGTGTATACACTGCATGTGTTCTCCTTTTGAACAGCCATTATTCCTTTCTCTGCAAGCAATGCATAGTTCTATCCTATCCCCATTTGGATTATGAGAAACATTTTCATCTTCCTTCTACCAGCTTTTCTTATATTATGCCAATGGTCAGCTTCTATTAGCTCTTTTGCACTGCCCATTTCAACATGTTTCTGAGTACTGTAGACTTTCAAATCCACATCATCTCATCAATGTATTGAGCCTCTTCAGTTCTGCCTGACTAGCTTGCTCTTAATATAAAACAGGCAGAATTTCAAAGAAATTGAAAAACTTAGAGCCCTTGAATTTTAGGTTTCGGTATACTGATTTAAATTTGGCTCCTAGGACAGCATGCCATTGGTGCCAATGTGTACCATAACTGTGTTCAACACACCCTTTGCCAATCTATCTAGATGAACCATGACATATTCTGTAACATGTAATCACAAAAGACACAAAGCCATATCCCTGTAGTTTTGCAGTGATTTCTCTGTTCTAGGAAGCTGCTCGCCCGGCCATATTGCAAGGTAGGAAAACATATTCTAACCCCATTGGAGCTGGTTGTGTATATTCACCCATTTGAAGGTCACATTGTCTGTGGATGCTAGCACCCTCTAAGTATGTCTTGAACTTTCCCAGATTAAAACATTTCCGTGTCTGTTATGTGGTCTCAGTTCCTTAATGTCCAAGTAAATGGAAACCAGGGTTTAATTCCCCGCTTAGCCATGAAAATCTACTGGGTGACCCTGGGCAAGCCACACACTCTCAGTCCCAGGAAAAAAACACATGATAGGGTCATGTTAAGGTTGCCATAAGCCAGGCACACAACAATAACAACAAAGAAATGTTTAGTGAGCATGTATAGTATTGCAGACTAAATATTTGATATACTCTCCCCATTTCCTCAAAGATCAGGACTATTAGATTTTATGGATCAAATTGATGACACCTTAATAAGTGTGAAGGCTGGAAGCAGAACTCCTAACTTATGTACAATGATTTAAAACCACAGACACTTTAACAAATCAATACATATGTTGTTATACACCTTCAAATCAACTCTGACCTATAGTGACCCTGTCACAGGGTTTTCTTGGCAAGATTTATTTAGAGGATTACTCTCATTGACTATCAGGTGGAAAAAATTGGACTTGTCCAACATTGTGGGGTTCCATATCTGAGTGGGAATTTGAACCCTAATTTCCTGGAATCCTAGTCCAACATTCAAACCATCATACCACACACAATAGATGTTTTCTCTCTGATAATGGGAGGAAGAAGACAATAAGAAAAGTTTCTATCTCTGTTGCAAGATACCCATATATTTGGTGCCAGGCTTCCTAAGAATGAATAGAAAGGAAGAAAATAGAGATAGAGGATAATGATGAAGTTATTTGATCCTATGCTGAAAATAAACTAAAATGTAAATAATATCCTCTCGCAAAGCCATTAAGTTTGAAAACCCATCCATGGAGTCTTTGTACGTACTTATTTCATTGCATAATATTAGCCATTGCATATTAGTTGCACCTCCCTTTTTGGGTTGCCAAAATGGTATATTCTTGTTTTCATCGCATATTAGGTGCACATGCAGTTGATGGGTGCGACTATTATACAAGGGGACAAGACTCCTTAGCTCTGAGAGGAGAGGTGGGCAAATGGATGAACCTCTCTGGATGGTGACCACCATCCAGAGAGTAACAAGGCCCCTCTTGGCTGCTGCAATGGAGTGGGGCCTTGTAACTCTCTCTCTCTCTCTCTCTCTCTCTCTGATGGGTAGATGATCCTTCATCACCTGCACATCTGCCAGCAAAAGCACTGGGATCTCCCTTGGCTGGCAGCAGCCTAAGAATACCTCATAGTTCTCCTGCAGATGACTTTGCAGCTAAAGGGTTTCCTTCATCTGGCAATCGAGGGAAGCCTTGTAGCTGCAAAATTATTTCCCCGCATAATAGTAGCAAAAGGGGGGGAAATGTGACTATTATGCGATGAAATACACTAAGTCTAGATTGTGTGTTCTCCTATAAAAGTGATTTGATCCAGTGAAAGATTCCAGAGAGGTTTTACAGAAACTATTGTCCTCCAGTGAATACATACCTTACTAGTTTTCAGAATCCATGAATAGATGGAGGTTGAAAAGCAAGCTGTAGACATGATTCTACATATCTGCACCCTCACCTCATGACTCCCTTACATATGTCACTTAGCAAAATCCTGATTGGTATTGTTCTGCATGAATGATTTTTTTAAAATTTTGAATAAAGAACCAAGCTCTTGTGGACATGGATAGGTCTGAGAGGGGTCCTTTCAATGAAGGAACTGCTTTCCCCTCCCCAGCATTGCAGGAGAAGCTTGGCTTTTTTTGTTTTGTTTTTTAATTACACACACTCACTTACACACTCTTCTTTTTCTAGCTAAACTAGGAATTTCCTAACATGTGGTCATCCTTAAAAAGGAGAAGTTTTCTTCCCCAAAGCAGCAAACAGATCCAGCAGATGCATGGCTGAAGAAAGCGTAGCAGACTTTTCTACTTCATCCACCTTTTTCTTCTTAAAGCAGACCATTTGGACCAAGGAGGCACTGGCATTTTTCTAAGACCGTGGCAGCACACCTGGCTGGTGTGGGCTGGACACCTTCACTCCACGGACAATGAGCCCAGCTGTCTGGATGCTTCTTTTGGGAACCATCTCCCAGGGTATGTCTGCTTTTTTGCCAATCACACCCAAACAATAGCAGCTCATGTGGGAGCTGGAGAATAGTTAGACAAACCAATTTTCTGATTTTACATATATTTATTTAGTTACTGTTAGACTTTTGAAGAGTCAGGTGTTGTTTATTTTTGTATTTCATTACAATTCCCAGAAACACCTAGTCAACTGTGCTGGTTTAAGATTGTTATGAGTTATAGTCCAAAAAGGTAACTTTTCCCAACTCAGAAGGCATGGGGTGGAGGGGAGAGGCATTGTTTCTGAATTGTCTCTCCATGACTTTTTATAGTGTGTTGGATTCAGGTTCTGTCTACCATTAGTGTAAAGGTTTTCGCACACAGAATTTTCCCCCACTCAGTTTTTGGGACTCACTCTCTCCACTGCATAGCAACTTAACTTACCCTTGATATTAGAGCCTTCTGACCATTTCTGTGGGACGAAATCAAAATATCAGTATTTAAGAGGTCACAAAACATTTTGTTATTGCTTAAAAAAACAAAATAGAGAAAACCCTGATAGATTTCCAGTAAATGGAATGGTTTTGCTGTTCCCAAAGATTTTAATTTTTCTTGAACAGAGCAATGAATGCCCTTCCCCTTCTCCAACTTAAAAAACCTCTTCTTGCATTTCTCCTTAATAGCAGTCACCTTTCCTGGGCCTATTCCACTATTTTTAAAGGATAGTTTTTAAATTTCAACTTCTGCAAATGGAAGAATACATCCAGTGATAGATTGCACAATGCCATGTATTTATTTAGTATTCATCCACCCACAGTGCATAATATGGGTGGGGACATCAAAGGGGGGGTTGCTCTAGTCTAGATCAACTAAGATGGAAAACCACACCTTTGTAGAGACATAACATTAATTTTGACTTAGCCTCTGGAAGCAAGCGCAGGACAAAAAAGTTACAAGCCTGACTGTCATGGCTCTGATGGGAGAAAAAAGGCCTCAGATTATAACTGATGGCCACTGTTAGGCAATGTGGCAGTGATGAAAAGCCAGTAGTCAGTGTTTACTGGAAGAACTAAGGAAGTGGGAAAGGAACAGTATTGGGGATTATGAGACATTTTGTGTGAAAATTGGTTCTGGTCATTGGAAATGGTAGCAGAGATATCAGAAAAATGTATACCTATGTTTAAGGAACTTTAGAAGATTATTTGCTTATTCTGTTTATACCATGCTTTTCTCCTATGATGGGATCTAAAGGAACTTTTAAAAAGTTACATTCTTAATGGTGCCTCATATCTAAAAGATCGATTTTGTATAATCAAACAATGTAAATATAGTTGAATACTACCATGTGTTTATTTGTTTGTATATCTTTATACAATCACATGTGGCAATTAAATATTTAAGAATACAATGGTCAGCCCACACCCGATTCTAGGTGGCAAATGGAAGATCTTCCACTTTTGTTGATGTGTCCAGTATCTAAACAGACAAGATGAATATGATTGTAAAGATCTGTCATTCCTTCCCAGCCTGACCCTGGCTGTCTCAACTCTTCCTCAAATGTATTTGGAACTATCTATGCTTGGACCAAGGTCAAATTAGTAAATTGGCTCATTTCAGCTTCTTCAGTTCCTATCCTATGACAACCAGAGGTCTCTCATGTGCCATCATGTTCCAAGGGAAACTGTGCAAAATCTTCCCATCTAAGAGGTCACTTCATGAAACAGCTGCAGAAACACAGTGGCAGAGATTGTGGAATTGGAGAAGGGATCTCATTGACCATCTACTCTGATCCTTCTGTCCTATGTAGATAAAAACACAATACCCCCTACAGATTGCTCTAAGTCAGTGGTTCTCAAACTGTGGGTCCCCAGATGTTTTGGCCTACAGCTCCCAGAAATCCCAGGCAGTTTACCAGTTGTTAGGATTTCTGGGAGTTGAAGGCCAAAACATCTGGGGATACACAGGTTGAGTAGCGCTACTCAAAGTGAAGCTTTTCAGTGAGCCCAGTGAGGGTATGATATGCACTCTGATATGTCCTTCTCCCTGTTTTTCCAGATTGTGAGAACATGTCTACAAATAAGTTCTAGTTGGTGCTGTGTATGACTTTTATTACTATCATGTGACCAACAGACTAGATAGAGGTTGCATATGCAGGAGCTAGATTAAGCAACAGTAGTGTGGTCCTGACCCAATTTAAACTTTAATACTCACTGCACTGTTGGGGTTTTTTATTCCCATCTTGGCACTGAAAATGTCCTAAAGATTGTAAATGTATGTGTGAGTTGCAGGAGGGAGATTGACTACATCTCTCCCACTTGTGACCATGGAAGCGGCTTTCTAGGATGCAGTGACAGCATTCCCCAACTAAGCTGATCCCTCCTCAACTCTTGTTCAAAACAATCCAACTAGAATAAGAAAGAAAATTCTGACAGTTTCTGGTTAGGATGTGTGTGACAGAGAAGGGGCAAAGCATTAGCTAATAATCACATCCCACCAGAATGGCATTCACCCACTCACCACAGTGGACAACAATATATCTACTACAATATGACATAGGCACCTGCAAGGCACACTCAACTTTTTAAGATCCCCATAATGTGCTTACCTAATTTCATCCCACAGCACTGGGGAACATCAGAATGAAAGATGTCCACATTCCTGTCTGTGCCTTTGGTGTTCAATAAGTGTTGGTCAAAGAAAAACAAATGATTGGAAGGCTCCAATGCTGCAATGCTAGAAATTTGGGATCAAAAGAGAAATTTCAAAGAGGGAAGGGAAACTTCATTGTACAACCTCCCCATAGCTACAGCCTGGGCCAAGCTTAAGTGCCAGTGAATCACCCTACGGTGCTGCATCAGACCCTGTTCTCCACTCTACCTGACTGATCAACCCGAGTTTTTTTCACTGTGGAGATGTGCAGTCTAGACTTACAACCTTATCACAAAGGCCAATTAAAGTGTCTCGCTTTGCCTAGCTCTGGAGAGGAAAGAGAGGGGCAGCGGGGCAAATCCCTCACTCCACACGCTTCTTCCATCACATGCGGAAAGAGTTGCCATTCTGGAGGGAACTGTGGAAAACCTCCCATGTTGTGAAGGAAGCGTCCAAGGTTTCTTCCACTCTGGTTGGGTGCGGGGCCTCTGCTATCACACACTGTCATATGATGGCTGATGTGGGGCTTCATCCCCAAAACATGCTGGAAGCATCCTAAGATGCTGAATTTAGGATTGTGATGAGGTTGTTAGTCCTAAATAGTAAAGTCACAGAGGCAGTGATGAAATAAAGAGTAAAGAAACATAATGATATTTGCTTCCAAGATATGGAATTTTGTGACAGAAAGACATGGGGAGACAAATGAGATGTCATAAGCTGAGCAATTCTCAAGTCACGTATAGTCGTGAAAATACAAGCACCTAGTTAGTAGCTAGGATGGTTTCAGATGAAACCACCTCTGAGTATTCCTTGATTAAGAAACCCTTATGAAATTCATGGGGTCACTAGAGGTTGACAGGTAATTTGAAGACATGCATGTACTCCAAAGGAAATAGCAAAGTTTTGTACAACTCTACAGGACCGGCCCAGCTTTGTGTGCATGTCTGTGCCCAATTATATGAGTGTCTGTGTGCTATTGTGCATGTGAAGTACACAGTTGCCAGTAAATAGTTGCATGCAACCTAGGTGTGGTTTTTCCAGCAAGCATTTCCACTTCAAAGGAGTGTTAATTTCCCAACAATCACACTTGTAAAATCAAATGGGTAGGAAAGTATATCTTCCTCATATATTCGCTGTGTGGCATTTGGATTGTGATTGCGCAAGTGTGGTGGGTTGTGCTCATGAACAGCAACCACAAATGTTCCCTTACAAGTCTTGTGAAATGTTATGTACTTTATGTAGATATATATATATATATTTAAAATCAATTTCTGTTTTATTACTTTTTTGATAGTCACTTATTTCTTTTTTTCTGAAGTGAATCCTGGCCAGCAGTTCCTGTTCTTTATACAGCAGTTAAGTCTCAATTTGATTTATTTTAGTTTAGTAGCTTTGGCATGGTTTTCTAGAACAACAGAAGATTTGTAAAATTTCTTCAATTAGTTGATCCATAAAAGTGGACAAACTTTCCTAAAAATATTTAGTTCACTGTTGCTGATTTTCATATGATATGTACAACCATTGTGTACCGTTGTTGTGTTCTAGGACCTTGTTACACACACCGCCAGTATCGCTGCAGATCACTGCAGATTGAGGTGATCCTGGCAGTGTCCACCCAGCGGGCGTGGGGACCTGTTGCCCTGTGCCCTGTACCATCCCGTCTTCCCCCCACCTCATCACATGGGAGGAAGTGGGAGGAAGCAAGCTCATTCCCTTGATTTCAAGGGAAAGATGGGAAGTCTTCCGTCTTTTTCTGCTGGCTTATTTTCGGTAGCAGCAGGGGTGTTTTTTTTCAGTTTTGCCATGGAGCCCCCCCCCCCCAAAGTACTTTTCAAGGATGTGATGGAAGCTGTCAGTCTCCATGACCACATTTGCAAAAACCTGTCATTGTCCCCAAAACTTTGCTTTACATTGAATTATTTTACCATGATCTGCCACTACAAATTGTTAATGAAAGATTGTTAAGATAATATATTATTGGTTTTGTTCAATGCTCTTTTGCTAATTCCAGTTTTATTATCCAGTGCTCATAATAGGGAGGCTTGCTTACTTACTTAGGTGATCCCTCATGGCCTGAGGATGATGGTCACCCAAGTATGGTGTTTTGGCAGTGGGTTCGTAGGTGGCCGTGGAGCCCTGTCCTTGATCTGCATGTTCTCCCGCAGTGAAGACATCGGTTTCTCATCATTGTGAGATGATCACAACACCAAGCAGCCAAGATCAGACCAGGGAAATTATAGGAACAGTTGTTCTCTTTCAAGTATTTTGCCCCAACCTCATTGCATGTCTGGCTTCAAGTCATTTCGGACTTATGGCATTCCAGAGGCAAACCTTTCATTGGATTTTCTGGGGCTGAGGGTGTGTGAGACTTCCTCAAGTTC